TTCCCATTGCTTTTAGGGTAAAGTCTCAACTCTCTAATATTCAGCATACCAAGCCCATCTGCTCCCCCAAAATCATGATTGATGACAGGCCCATGATCCAAGGTGACTAATCCTTGGGGAAGTTAGATACCAGGGGAAGAAGACGAAATCTTCACGGTAAACATATCACCTTAACAGAATAATTCTTCCTTGACCTACTATCTACTCCATTGCCTAGCTGCATGCCTGCTTGTAACTTAATCTGTGGCTGGGGTTTTGGGAACTGTGAGTTGTGTCCCCGTCTGAATGCGCGTCCAAGCACAAGTGGAGAATGTAAATTCGAATCTCTGCAGGGAACTCAGCGCAGTGAGGATGGGAAAGTTGCATTTTTTTAAGTCTTTTCCCATGTTCATCGCAGATATTACTGACTCTTCAACCACCTCCTGACCGTCAAGCAGCCCAGAGTATACAGCAAAGCCACACCTTTGCGCAAGGCGTATGAGGAGGGGCAAGGAAGTACTGCCTCCAGGCAAGGGAGAGGGCACGCAGGCGCAGCCGCAGTCGGATGAAAGCCACTCTTCCCGGCCGTCCCTTTTCAATGAACTGGGAACTGCGGAAGGAGCACGCAAAACGTCATTTCCGAAGAACTGGAGCCACGCCTTGTAGGCTGCAACATGGAGGCGACCAGTGGAAATGATGAGGTGGTGAGACGCTGCTCTGGGGTCGGGTGAGTGGGGAAGCCGAGCTGGGTCGAAACTCGAGCTCTCCTTCCCCATCTCTGTTTCCTTTCCCAGGTTTCCAGGGAACTGACGTCTGTGGCGCACGCTGTTTCTCTCCCAGCCGAGTCTTACGGCAACGATGTGAGTATGACTCACCCACGGTTTTCACGCACGCAGCTATCCTGGGATGTCTGCAGGGCCCGCCACGAAATTGTAATCCTCCTACCCAGATGGCTTCCGTAGACTCTCTCCACGTCTGCCAGAAAATGCGCCTTTCAATTAATTCTAATCCTTTTGGTTCGCAAACGCAGGACTAACGTCAATGGGAGTAGTTCCCAAACTGTGCTGTACTTTAGAGTTACCTGGGAAGCTTTTAAATATCTCGAAGTTCAGGTCGCAATCCATCCCAACTAAATCACAGTATCTGGGTGGTTAGAGTCAGGAATCAGTATTTTTAAAGGTCCCCGGGTGACTCCATTGTGCAGTAAAGTTGCACTGGCTTATGGTGTATCTGGTTTAGATCCTTAAGGAGAAAGCACATGATGTATTTTGAGTTATAAGACACATGGACATGAAAATAGTAATAACACTCAAATAATAATGTGATGTATGGTAGATTAGTGAATCAGGGCATAAGATCCAAAGGAGGTTAGCCAAAGAAGACACCCCTAAGGACCCAGACAGTAAAGGAAGACTTTGCTGAGGAAGTGGATGTGGAACTGGATCCTCAAAGTGTAAGTGGACAAAAGATATGGATTGGCAGTCAGGAAAAGGGCATGGAGGTAAAAATGCAGTTTTTTTTCTGGGATCAGTGAAATAGATCCAACCAGTTGGAGTGGGAGATTCCAGTGGAACAGGTACTTGGTAAGGCTTATTATAACCTAGCCTGCTTCACGATATTGATTCATTTCTAAGTGTTGTAGGATAGGGAATTGGCTATCTGATGAACACACATGATGATTATGACATTGTACACTCTTAAAAGTGAAGAGTAATATTACTTCTGTTATCTTACTCTGTCCTCTCAACAACTCAGTGGTGTATGTGGGTATTTCAGTTTTACAGTAATTTAATTTAGTCCTGAGAAGGTGATTTATCTACTGCTTTATGTAGTCTTCTACACTTTCACTAGCTGCTGGGAAAAGACAGCCAGTGGCTCATTTTGTTTATTAGACTGTGTAGGTAGCTTCTTTTGGTTGTCATAAAGACAAAAGAATTATTATATTGTCCAAACTTATTAGTCCAGTTTTTTTTAACATCCAGAATCTTTTATTGGTCACTTGTATGCCAGGTACCAGCATCAACAAGAAAAAAAAAGGTGTTTCCACCTAAAAGAGCCCCTTATCTCTTCGTTTGCCTCTTCCTGTAGTGTTTCTCTCCCAACTCTGTAGAGCTACAATCACAGATGAAGAGAGCTACAACAAACACTCGATCAGGAGGCAAGAAAGCTATGGATAAATCCCTCCCAAGTACAGAAATATTAGTCAGCAATCACTATACCAATTGCCCAGAGCTTCATATACAGCCTCCCTTTAAGACTAAGATTGTCCCATTTTACAGGGGAGGAGGCAACAAGTTCCAAGAGAATTCAACCTTAGTCCAGTTTTTAACCTTTAACAGTAACAGCAAGCTTGGTAGCGCTCTTGAGCATTAACTAGACATCCACAGACTTCCTTAATTTGTTCTGTAGTAGCAAGATTGGGTGATTTCTGACCTGGCATTCTTCACTCCTTTGCAGCCTGATATTGAGATGGCTTGGGCCATGAGAGCAATGCAGCATGCTGAAGTCTACTACAAAGTGAGTTGACTGTCTTCATTGTTAAGCAGAATTAAACATGTAATCTCAGCATATTGTGCTCTGCTAATCACCATTCTCAGCAAGTTAAACAGTTGTGTTTTGGAGATAATTTTTATTACTCTAAGGAGAACTAGGGCATGGAAGTCAGTTTTGCTTTGACAGTGAGGAGTTGTGCTTCTCTGCCCAGTGTTGTGTTGCTAACCTACAAAAGGATACCTGGCCCATAGTAGGCACTAAATAAATGTTTGTTGACTGAATGAATAATCCACAGAGGGTAATAGCCAGACATTAATAGGGCCAAAGGGGTTTGAATTGGTGGGACTGTAGTATATTATGGCCCTTTAAAATTATGTCATGATTTCATCTGGGACCTAGGCTGTCTATATTTTCTAATGAACTCTTCTGCCCTGAGAACCATGCAGATTTTCTGGGGAAGAGGGGACAGAAATATAGTAAATTAGAGACTAGCATCTTTATGTTGTCTTATTGTCTGGCAGCTGATTTCATCAGTTGACCCACAGTTCCTGAAACTCACCAAAGTGGATGACCAAATCTATTCTGAGTTTCGGGAAAATTTTAAGAAACTCAGGATAGATGTATTGGACCCAGAAGAGCTCAAATCAGAAGGAGCTAAAGAGGTAAGAATTCTCTCTTTTAAATATTGCCTAACATCTGACCAACAATTATTGACTGTGAATACATTTTTATACATTTAAACTTTTGGGGGGTTTGTTTTAAGGCAAATACCTAAAGCACCAGGGCTTTTATGCAGTTGTAATTAATGTGTTACTAAATGAATGTTTTTCTGGTTTATGGATTTTTCATTTTCATTGAATCTATTTTTTCTCCTTTGATTTGGACCTTTCATCCTTACCCACCTAGCTCTTTCAAGGGAGAAGGAATAAATTTATTTATGTGAGTACTTTAGCCAGAAGGCTTAGATAGAGGGTTGGCAAATAGAGTACGGAGAGGTGTTTGGATTCTCTGGATTTAAGATCATATTATCACAGGCTGTGGATAATTGGAAAACTTGTGTTTTGCATTGCTTGCTTGATTATGTTATACTTTTACAGAGCACTAAAACTCTTATAGTTAGGAAATTTTTTTCCTTGAGGGTAGATTCTCGGCTTATGAGGAATGTAAACTTTTAACTCTAAGCAGGCTGTTACTGATCTTTGGAAAATTGCCTCTATTGGATGGACTTCTTTCTTAAAATTTAACTTTGTGAATTTGGGCCAAATTCCTGCCTTCTTTGTCTTATTTGTGCTTCAGTGAGGATGAATAACCATTTTGGGCTGAACTATCCAATAACTTAAAACAGAGAATATACTTAAGAAATTAAAATTTAATTCTCTAGTCAAGGATTTAAGTATTTTATCAGATTAAACTATTGTTCATGTTGGGAAATACCAGCCTAAAGATACCAAAGATAACGTAAAAGCTCATTGCTAGTGAAACTAGTAATCAGCTCAATTCTAGTCTCTTTCACTGTGGTTACTTTCCTTACTGGGGAAACGGAAGCCCCTCTCCTGGCCTGACTTCACCAGCCTCCTGCATTTTTTAGCTAAGATATCTTTTTTGCCTTTACAGAAGTGGAGACCATTCTGTTTGAAGTTTGAAGGGATTGTAGAAGACTTCAACTATGGTACTTTGCTGCGACTGAACTGTTCTCAGGGCTACACTGAGGAAAACACCATCTTTGGTGAGATTCTTGCCTCTGGGATTGTTTCTGTATAAGGAGAGTGAGGGATCTGGTTTTACTGATGAATCAATGACATGAATAGTTAGTTTGGGAATCATTTTATTTGTTATATCTGTAAAGATCATGTTACTGTATCTTGAGTAACTGTGAGATAAGATAAGTATTTTCAGCATCATTTAGTATAGGATTAGAATTTACATCTCTGAATCTTATGACTATACTTGAATGCTTTACATGTTAGTTCAGCTTTGTCAATAGATTTCCAGTAGGTTTAGAGAAGTAACTGTGACTAGGACAAATAATCAATTCTATTCACCTTTCAGCACCCAGGATACAATTTTTTGCCATTGAAATTGCTCGGAACCGGGAAGGTTATAACAAAGCAGTTTACACTAGTGTTCGGGACAAAGAAGAAGAGAAAGGAGCCAATAATGGAGGAGACAAAGGAGCCAACAGTGGAGGAGAAGAAGAGAAAGGCGCCAACAGAGAAGGAGAAAAGGAGAAAATCAACAAAGGAGGAGAAAAAGAGAAAGAATCCTACAAAGAAATCAACACAAGTGGTGAAACAGCTATGTAAGGTAGACAGGGAACAGCACTCTAGAAGCTGTGGTTCAGCTGAGCCTACAAGTTCCATGATGCTACTTTCACAGGCCCCTATGGTGAAATGTATCTCCTTGTTCACTGGAAGGACATGCAGAAGGACATCTTTCTGACCTAATCATCAGGAGCTGCAATGGTTGTTCTCTTGTATGAACTGGCTTGAAAACTGTTAGTGGGGTCTTAGTTGATGGTTTCTTGCTTCTCACCACCAGTCAAGTAAGAAATTTTGTAAATAAATTTCTTTTGGTTCTTATGACTATATGTCTGTGATTGACTTTTAAAAGGTATTGAAAATTATTTGACACTTGATTTTTTTTTTTAGGTACATAATCTCTTTGTCATGTCTTATGTAAAATGATTTATGCCTATTTCTTTTTGTTGTTGTTGTTGTTTTGTTGGTTTTTTTTGTTTTGTGGTACGTGGGCCTCTCACTGTTATGGCCTCTCCCACTGCGGAGCACAGGCTCCAGAAGCGCAGGCTCAGTGGCCACGGCTCACGGGCCCAGCCACTCCGCAGCATGTGGGATCCTCCTGGAGCGGGGCACGAACCCGTGTCCCCTGCATCGGCAGGCGGACTCTCAACCACTGCGCCACCAGGGAAGCCCTATGCCTATTTCTTAATGCTTCTCACTATTTCCTGTAGTGAATTTCTCTCAAACCTGTAAAGTTGTTTACGGTTTTGAATTAGAAGTCCTTACATAAGAACTGACTCTTGCCATTTGAGTGACTCTAGCTTTCTGATTTTATTTGCTATATCTCTCAAAAGATTTGATAAATACTCTATGGGGATAACAGCAGCAGCCTGAACCTGTCACACTAGTAAACACAGCCCAGTTCACATTAAAGGAGCAGGAGACTGAACCTGCTCAGTACCTGCTTCTCTCTTGTAACCAAGTTGTTACCTAAAATATAGCAGAAATTAATAAATATAAAGCCTGGTAGAGTGGCTTTCCTTTTATAATGCTGTGGACAATAGCACACATTTATACATTAATACAAAATGAACATATTTCTAAATGGGATTTTGTCGGACTCCAAAAATAGACCAATTGATTTTATATGGATGGGGGGTTGTTCCTTCTCATCTAATGACTTTTAAGAGTGCATGTTTTCAGTTATCTTTACAAATGTATAGATTTGTGCATGTCCCCATAGACATACTGACTTTGTTTGCTAAAACTAGCTAGAGAAAGCTGCAATGTTCATAGTGCATACAGTAAATAGTCTAACCACAGCATGATCATGCAAGAAAAGATTTACCAGAGGAGAGGAGGGTGAATGAGACTTGTTTTTCTCAGTGGACACAGGAGGAGACAAAAATTAAACTTAATTGATCAGTTGTCCCCTAGGCAAGAGCTGCACTAGAGATGCACAGTCAGCAGCAACAATTGTACACAAAGTGAATAGGTTTCTCCATGAATTCTCTTTGGCTAATTCTTAAAAATATTTAAAACATCTGTTAAAGTTTTCATTTTATAAAAATATGATTTTTAAAAGGTAAGAGAGTTAAATATATTAGGCAGACTTTTTGAGATGAAGAACATGCTTTACTGTATTAACTTTCTCTTTGATTTTACAGAGAATATGAAACATACTGTTGATAGACTGCTTTAGAACAAGAGGCATCTGTCTAAGAACTAGGTTATAAAAACTGGGAAAAAGAGGGGGAATAAGAACACGGAACACTTCACACTAACCATTTGATTTGGAGTTGATCAAAAGGGACAATATCCTGGGTGGATCTGGCCTAATCAAGCGAGTACTTAAAGGAGACAAGCAGTAGCAGATGTTCTTTTGGCCTTGAAGAAGCAAATAGATGTATGAGAGAAGGGGGCCATGTGGCAAAGAGCTGAGGGTGGCAGTTGGGAGCTGACAGTGATCCTACTTGCTGAGAGCCAGCAAGAAAATGGGGATTCTACTACAGTTGAAAGGAATTGAATTTTGCCAACAACTGGTGAGTTTGGGAGAGGAACTCAAGCCTCAGATGAGATTGTAGTCCTGGTTGATACCATGATTTCAGCCCTGTGAGACTCTGAACAGAGGACCCAGTTAAGTCATACTTGGACTCCTAACCCACAGGACTGTGAGATAACAGGTATTGTCTTAAGCCACTAATTATGTGGTTATTTGTAACAGAGTAGTAGTAACTACATAGACTTTGGTAATGAAAGTGGACTGCTGCTGTAACAAGTACCTAAAGTGTGGGAATGGCTTTGGAATCAGGCAGTGCGGGGAGGCCGGAAGAATATTGAGGAGCATGAGAGAAAACCTAAATAGCCTTGTACAGACTGTCAGTGGAAATATGGACTTTAAGGGTGCTGCTGGTGAGGGATCAGAAGGACATATTATTGTTATTGAAAACTGGAAGAAGGGGGATCCTATTAATAAGTGGTAACATTATAGTTAGAGGCCAGGAAGTTTGAGATTTGAGTCCTAGCTCTGAATTATTTGGAAGATGATATGAAGCCAGTCTTGACATAGTGTGTAAACATCTGTGATTTATTCAGAATGTGGTACCTATCCACTTATTTATCTCCATGACATATTTTGGAGGCAGGGAAAGAGCACAGACTAAGATTTGCATTTACTGAAAGG